CCGCAGCGGCCGGTCCAGACTCACGACCGTCACCACCAGGCCGCCGTCCGCAGCGGCCGGTCCAGACTCTCAGACTGACGACCGTCACCACCAGGCCCCCGTCTGCAGCGGCCCTATAACAGCCCTATAACACCGCTCCACGCTATCTCGTGGTTATGGTGACGCTTTGACAGTGAATGCAAGCGAAGTTTGCTTAGTGCCATGCGGAAGGAAATTATTATTTACTTTGACTAGGGCGTTGGTGCCCCAGCCCCCTCCCCTTCCCTGTTCTTTTGAAGGCCCGTCTGGATCGCATGACGCTCTATGACATAATTTTTTCAGTTGACTTTTCACTTTTTAAATCTGACCTGTTAGCTTCTGGCCCCGACTCACTGATATGCGGCCTCAATATCAATGATCTGCACGGCGAAAAAGCGGAAAACTGGCGCTCTGCGACGCATGCCGGCCTCTCTGTTCACCAGGTCTTCTTGTTCAGTGTTTAGAGAAGTGCTAAGTGCTTCTCTCACGAACCTCCTCGGTGTTATCCACACTTTCAAAGATCATTTAGAGTTGAAGTCACACCAAGTTGCATCCTGAAAGAAACTGAATCCTGGTAGACATTTTTATAAAAAAGTATTAGGCCTTCAGAGTCTACAGACACTGTAAAAATATTTCAAATCTTGATTTCGTGTAACTTCGCCTTCAAATCATTATACCCTCGCCGAAGGCATGGCAGATGTCAGTGATGTTGTACCGGTCTATACAGAGCAAAGTCACACCAGTTTCAGTCCCCAAAACGACCTCAAGTATGTCTAGTAGACATTTCAAAGCATACCAGCAACATGGGCACGCCTGAAGATCGTCATTGCAATGATGATAGTCACCGCAAATGTCATGTAAAGTCAAGGCCATGTATGTCTTTTCAATGGCGTATTTCGGTGGCTTCACATGACACTTTAAAAATCAGAAAGACGGCATGCTTTAATTGTACCAGCTTTTCCCAGCAGGCGTGCCCAAATCTACGTAAAGAAGGCGCAAACGTGATCGGGCCTCGCTCAACACGGCTCGATAGCGCAACTAAATTAGGTAACTTGCAATGACCTGCCTGATAGGTGGACATCACATATGCCCTGTACTCGACAAAGGGCCACAACCGTGTCCCATGCGGGCGGTATCAAAGCTGACAGAGGACTTCTGCTGTTCAGGATTTGTTTGGCTTGAGGCGATTCTAAAGACATACGTGTTTTATACAACATCAGGAGCCGTTACGGACGTTTCCATCTGCAAACAATATCAGGAGCGGTTACGGAAGTCACCATCTGCAAAGAATATCGGAAGCGGTTACAGACGTTTCCATCTGCAAACAATATCGGGAGCGGTTACAGACATTATCATCTGCAAACAATATCGGAAGCGGTTACAGACGTTACCATCGACAAACAATATCGGGAGCGGTTACAGACGTTACCATCTGCAAACAATATCGGGAGCGGTTACGGACGCTACTACCTGCAAACAATATCGGGAGCGGATACAGACGTTACCATCTGCAAACAATATCGGGAGCGGTTACGGACGTTACCATCTGCAAACAATATCGGGAGCGGTTACGGAAGTTACCATCTTCAATGGGTCGATGTTGCACGCTAAAGAAAAGTTGTTACCTGCGTCAGTTTTTTCACGAAGGTGTACCTCAATATTTTCAAAGAGAATCCGTCCATGGAAGTCGATTTGTGCCTTGTTATACCAAAATAGCATTGGAAGTAATCCTGGCAGTTAACAGCGCTGATTCGACAGCACATTTCAGTGTGGGCAGCGGCGTTAAATGCGAAGTGGATGGTACGGCACTCTCCTGCAAAATAGTTTATTAGCTGTTGGGTACTGTGGAATCAAGATTCCCTAAAAACGTGTGAGGAGTCTGAAGCTTCCATTAGCCGTGCTCCTTGTAGCTCCTTGTAGCTCCAGTTACAAACGTTCCGTAGCTCTTGTAAATCATCATGAAACTGTAATATTGCGTGAAATCTGTCCAATTAGCCGTCAGGACGAAATGCGATATCGAATGCTATGTCAGGCACCTTGGGCGTGGTGCGCCACTGCTATGTCAGGCGCCTTGAACACGGTGCGCCACTGCTACGTCAGGCGCCTTAAGCGCGGTGCGTGACTGCTATGTCATGCACCTTGGGCGCGGTGCGCCACTGCTATGTCAGGCACCTTGAGCGCGGTGCGCCACTGCTATGTCGGGCACCTTGAGCGCGGTGCGCCACTGCTATGTCAGGCACCATGAGTGTGGTGCGCCACTGCTCGTGCCGCTACATTCCTCAATAATTATTTCTTATTAGAAACAGTAATTTCGCAAAATCGTGATGGATTCCAGAGTTTCTGATGAAATTGAAACGCCAAGAGACAACGCAAAGCGATACAGAACATCAGCAAATTCTAGTTGCGTTAATTGTGCGCACTGAATGCTTATGCGCACACTGGAGTGAAATGCATCATAATCACCTCTTTGTTTCTTGCAAATCATCAAAATAAAAGATCTAGACCGACGGTTATTGATGTATTTTAAAGACTTTTTATCGAAGTAAGAGAACGATACGCTCAATAGGACATAGGCCAGCCAAACCGTCCGCTAACTGTTGTTCTTACTGCCCGTCAAAGCCGTTAAACCATCCAAGCGAACCAGCCCTCGCGACCTGGCGCTGGCACCATTGAATGGTGGCCCACGCGGGCGAAACAATGCCTTTCTCCGCTCCTGTTCTCCGAAATGGTTTGTCAGAGGAGGGGCCCTCACTCAATTAAACTTCTGACTCTACCACACCGCGTTATTATCCATCCGATGGAAATTTGCCCCGCCATTCGCGGGTCGACGGTGGCAAAAGGAGGCGAAAGCAAAACATACGATGTCTATGCGGGTACGTAGAAGCCCCACACTAGAGCAGAAAAGGCTTGGCGAATTCACTTCCCGGTTGCGTCAAGGAAATAAGATCATATTTAATCGGGAAGCAAAAAACCTCCCACGCTTGAGATTATCTGTGTCAATTTATTGACAGTTTGGCAGCCTGACCCCTGCGCTTTGCCCCAGCAGATCGGTAAAATGGCCCTTGAGTGTACAAACGAAAATTGGGTAATAATCGGTGTCACCTGGCTACACCGGAAATTTCCACTCATCATGTTGCGCTTACCATCCATGCTCTTATGCATGATGGAACGAATTTGCATCCAGTGAGCGCCATTTTGAATGGCGACGTCGTCGTTTTGTTTAGTTTACCTCAGCTTAATCTGGTATTGACTGTGACTCAATCCGGCATTGACTTTGGATCAGTCTGTTATTGACTCTGGCTCAACCTCGTATTGACAATAGCTCAATGCGGTATTGACTATGGCTTAATCTGACATTGACAATGGCTCAATCTGATATTGACTATGGCTCAATCTGATATTGACTATGGTTCAGTCTGGATTTGACTATGGCTGAAAGTGATCTTGTTTGACCCCGGATATGAGCAGTCAGGTCATACTTATGTAACAATGCTTATATTTATGTATTGTTTAACTAATTGTTGCCCGCTTGGCCGCGGAGGAAGAAGTAAGGTCGAGTGGCTATCACCTTAGGCTCCCACGCGGAGGGTCTGCGTGTAACTTGCCGCTCCACTTTGGCCTTTGGGCGCTATTATGATTTCCGCAGTCTACTGGCGCTCCATGCGAGGATCCCCGATGGCAAGCGTCGTGTTCTCTTTTTATGAGGATAATTTTTGTTTGTGATTATCGAGCGATACATATTGCTGATAAGTCATCTTGCTTGACCCTAAACTGTACGACTATGGCTGCCGTGGCCCCGTGAGATTTACACCGTCGGTCTTTCCAGGAGTTCATGACGACGTGTTTGCGAATAGTGCGTAAGTAAGGCTAGGTTAGGCTAGGTTAGGTTGGGTCAGGTTGGGCTGGGTTAGGTTAGACTAGTGTCTTAGCATGTGTTGGGTATTGTCCGATGCTATGCATCGGCCGTTAAGTACCCATGCAAGTGGGGTGGGTGTCACGTGGGATCTCGGGGTCCGTTGGGACAATGCTAATGCTTCATGCTGCCTGATGTTTTACATTGTGTTCGTGGCGAAGGGAATGTGACTTTATTTGCTACCGAAAAGAAGGCTACAACAATGCGTTGTGCAGCGGTATTCGTACATTTCCCTATGTTGAGCTAGCAGTAGTATGACTCAACAAACCCGCGATATGGCTGAACAATCTGCTCTAAGGCAGTCCCATACATTAACCAATTACTTTGGAACTTTTGCAACGTTCGCGCAGAGCCTGTCCAATGGCATCGCGGAAAGTCACAAAATAAGCATCACCACAATGCGCACCGCAGACAATGTCTGAAGCTGCGCATTTAAGCGTTTTTAAACTCGCGCGTCTTCTGTAACATTGGCCTGATCTAAGATAAAACTTTTGTGACTCAAAATGAATTCCGAATTCTTCGAACTCAGTACACTATTTAGCCTAGTCACTTAAGCCGGGCATGACACTAAACGCATCTTTAGGCTCACATGAAGAGGCTGTGTGTTTGTTCTTCTTGTTTTCAATAGTATAATACTATGCACTACGTACCACTGCGTAGTTAGCACCGAATAATTAATGTAAGCCTACTAGTTTTATGGGTGGGCCACAGAATAACCGATCGGAGCTTCGCCAGCCATCATTTGTGTGCGATGAAGAAGCAATGCTTGTGCTGAAGGAAGACAGCACAGAGTCAACAGAATCTGGCTGCCAGTTATGTGGCCTCATGTCACTGGGTGGGCTGCTTCGCCTCAGTTCTCCCACTGAGCCTGTGCACGAATCGGAGCTGCGAATGTCGACTCCGGTTGCCACAGAGCTGTGCTAAAAGGCCGGTGCACCGACATCAGATGCACGGCACCAGTGCCGTCCTAAAGCGAAGCGAATGCTGACACTAGTGTCGTCCGTCGGCTCGAGACGGTACGAGGAGGAGGGATGGGCCAGTCGGGAGGTAGAGCGCACGGTCCTCTCACCAGGTCCATCAGCTGCGACAGTCGCAGGCCCAGCTTCACCGTCACCCGGTCGCTGTGGTTGGAGACGGGCCGGATCAGCCGGTTGTAGTTGGAGAGCAGGTCGTCGTACAGGCGCTTGGCGTCCGGGTTCGCGCGCGACACAGGCACGAGGGCGAGAGTCACGAGGAGAGTGACCAGCGCGTGCGGCCGGCGGCCGGTCCGACCGCCGAGGCCCTGCGACACGTCGGCGGCCATCAGGGCCGGGCAGGACGACACTGGCGGCGCTGAGCAGCGGCTGGTGACGGTACCCGGCCCGTACCCACGCGGTGTGCCATCTCCTCCACAGCCGACGCCTCCGCCGCGCGCGCCCGCTGCCGACGGACTGGCCGTGGCGCTCGAGCCATCTACCGGCCGAGCGGCGAACCCAGCCGTAATCCAATTTTGTTACGAGCGAGTCACGCTATGCCTATGGCAGCTAATGGGGGGACTTTTGTCGGCGATTTTCCACACAGACGGAAGCAGTGGCAATTGGGTTGGGAAGGACGGCCAGCTGAGCATGCGCTCGTCCGACGGAGTGCACTCCTGATACCAAGTGGCGCAAACAGGCACTGCAAATCGATGCCATTCTGGGCCTCCGTGAATATTGCGGCAATGGTGCCTCACGTGGCGGCGGAATTAACTCTAGCCTCGCTGCAAGAGATTTGCATTCTACCTCGTGCATCTACAAATGATCGCTGAGCTTCGCAAGTGATGGATGGCGTGAAGTTGGCCTCTCCCGGCTCCTTTTGGTGCTTTCGACCACGCAAAGCGCAACACTGCCTTTTTCCGGTTCTGCTTGAGCGCACTTCTCTGGTGTTCGAAACCTCGCTGTACCGTGTCTATTCAGCAGTTGTACCCACTAGCAGAGCGCACTAGTGCTAGGCAGTGCCTGTTCTCAGTCCTTCTTGAGCGCTCGCTGTGTGTCCCGTCCAAAGCACCGAGGAGGCGCCGTCAGGTAAGCCACAAGCACCGGGTTAAGGCGGGCGAGCTGAAATATCGCTGCGCCTTCTGGCTCTTACCCTAATCTCATGGCTTTCAAATGGTCAGAATGGGTGGAAGCAGCTACAACATAATCCAATATACTGAAGTAACGGCACCGGCCCTGGCCATTCTGGGAAGACCGAGATTGCTAAGGCGTCCGGAAACAACTCATTGAACGATTGTGTGCTGAGTTAATTAAAGAAAAGTGTAAGTTAATGAGTTTGGATCTTTCGAAACACTGCCGTACCTTTTCCAGAGTATTTTTGCACCTTTCTGAAGAATTATGTTAATCTGAAATCAGCTCTACCTTTTTCAAAGCATTTTTGAAGCCATGTTCTCCCAAACATACCAAACCAGACACACTTGAGTTAAATATCTTAAAAGTTGTGGTATGTTGACCACATTCGCCTGGTGTCATTTTACCAGGGATTTATGTGTTGCCGGTGGCTTACTCTTTATCAACGGAGACAATTATCCATGATCTGATAATTTAAAAAGGCCTTGGCCTTAGTATTAGTGCCGGTAGAACAGCGATAGGGCAGGGAGCCTTCAATATGGCAATGTCGTAACCCATGCCCGTGCAGTTGAGGAGGAAGAGCAGACGTGGCAAGTTCTTGCGCATTTGCCTGGGTTGTTTCTAGAGTTTTTTATGAAAACATTCCTCCCATTCTAGAAAACTGTGAAAGTGAAAAACAGGGAAATTGTTGCCCTTATTCCTTTCAACCCTCAAGTATTCGTATACCAGCAGCAGACTCGAGGCAATCCAAGGCCGGCGTGATGGCATGTTACAAAAAGACGCCAGACTATCCAATGCTACCCCTGCCAAGTAAATGGCGATAGATAAGCGGCTTGATGTTCTCAGGTAGATTTTAAGTGACTTTTTCATGAGGAAAATTTCTCTTGAGATTCAACCAGGGACCGGTACAGCACCGCTGAGATCCCATTTCACACGCCTACGAGGACATTGAGACCCCCAGGTCCCACGAGAAGACCTCAGATGCCCTGAACCTGAGCCTTTCCCATAATAGCATCTCACCGGTTTTAAGCACAATGCTGAAAGTTTGTGCAGCTGAATTTGTTTCATTTTTTACACTTGTTAAAATGTGCAGCTTCTGACGTTGGTGGGACACCATCTAGATCTTCTTTCTCTGGGCTGTGTCGTCGACATTTCGCTCAAGTAATGCCGCTGATGCTGCTGCTGCGCACAGCACCGGTGGCGCCGCCGCGGACCCTTCGTACGTAACGTAAGCACCGAAACCAAAGTCGACTGCCCATGGCGTTGCTCTCCTGGTACATGCTCTATATCTGCCTAGGACAATCCCAAACATCGATTGTAGATGGTAACTGGGCATTTATGACATACTGGTGCATACAGGAGGGGGCAAATGACGAGTTTAGGTGATCCCCTTATACAGGAGCGGGGTGGCAACAGTCGAGTCCAGACATTGAGACTCGACTCTTGAGAGTATCCTCCTCATACAGGTCGTCCCGCAACCATGCATATCGCAGTACGCAAATTATATGAATTTTGAAAAAGTTTTGGGTTCGACCAAAGTGCGGACTGAACTGCCACCCTAGGTTTTGCCACCCTGGGCTGGGGTTTCGGGACTGAACTGCCACCCTAGGTTTTGCCACCCTGGGCTAGGGTTTCGTTGGCATTTGCATATCGTTTGCGAAATCCGCCACGCTTTTTGCTGATAGCCTAGCAGCCTGGCAGAAAGCAGCGAAGGCTTTTAGCGTTGCTTGAACCTGCAGCCTCAGGCGGAACACAGCAGTATCGCACTACTCCACACTCTACATCGATCTGCTAAGCCGTCCGCTTTCGTGGCACGAACAAAACTTTTAGGGCAAAAGCGCTCTGATCACATTTAATTTTGACTTCAAACAATGTTCGAAGCAGGAACGCCAGAATCGCCTAGCGCCAGCTGCTTTCATTCTGAAGGAAAACAACTCGCTCTGCATGGAAGTTAGTGCGGTGCGTGAGGAGAGTCGTAATTAGTGACCATTTTGTTCGGCGCGTATCCAGTTATATGTGATTCCTCTAAACTATGTCCCCAAATTATTCAAAATTCAAGTGTCCGTGGCTAGAGAAGAATATAGCAGTAAGGCTCCATCCGGTGCAATGATATGCTTAACAACTTGGATAGTTGTGGTTGTATTGGGGTCAGTTGTCATGTGTCATTATCTTGGACTGATGTGGCTCACATAGCCTCCCTCCAAGCATCTAAAAGACGCTTGGGGAGGAAATGCGTATCACAGCAGTCCAAGGTCCGACTTACAATCTAAGACATTCATGCCCCGGCCACGAGCCAGGACTGAAGGTCGTACAGAAATGGCTTGGCACGGTTCCATAACACAACGTTATCGTTTTCTCTGAAGTATGCCGGCAGGCGCATAGTTTCGCACAACGAGGTGGGGGGGGGGGGGGGGGGGGCTGAACAGTGGGAAATAATCCATCCAGCCCCTAAATATGCCAGCAAACAGGTTTCTCCTTGGATTTTGCCCACTTTCTTTTCAAATTCGGAGGGGGCAGCTCTAGCCCAAGTTGGAGGGGCGGGGGAGGACCTGAAGCCTCCAACTGAATAGGAAACTATACCTCTGCATGCCGGTTTGCCAGTGGTGTAAATCTGAAGTCTGTCGATTGAAAAGATATCACCGTTAATCCTCGGCAAATAGATCATTTGAAGAAACGCATGGATAACAGCACATCACCTCCAAGAGCTACGGTTTTGCCACTCCAGTTTCGAACCTATCTCAAGGATGAGATCTTGTGACGGATTTGGCGGCGCGGAGCTCGACCGAGGCGGCCAGCGCCCGGGGCGCGACGCCTCCGTCCGAGCCATCAGCCGCACTCGCCGGTCGCTGCCGCGCAGCGCGCCGGCCGGCGCAGTGCTGCGGCCGGCGCGTGCACGGCGCGAGAATTTCGGCCGGGTAAAAATACCGCCGTGGTCGATAGCGCTGGCGACAGACTGGAGCTGTCGGCCCTCTCTCGCTCGGCGGTGACAGTGCCGACGTTTGGCGTGGCCCAGCCCGCCCCGGGCCGCACGCGGTATTGAAGATTTAACAAGTCGCGTGCTTCAGGCAGCCTTTGAAGGCGGCGGGACCGGACCGAGTCGTGTCGAGTGATCGGGAACTCTTCGACGGATGAGAGCACCTAGACGACAGTGACGCAATCGAAAGCCGTTAACGGTCCAGTGTTGCCTCGTGATCGGGCGAGGGAGCGATCAGCACCACAGCGGACATGCTGCGAAATAATGTGGCACATGAAGCTGCTGACTGCGATCTTACAGGCGGCTTACGTATCTACGCAGCTTGCAAAATGTCGGACAACTTAGGCGGGTTGCAGAATATCAAGGAATTAAAAAGGAGTTTGCGAGCGACGCCCTCACGAAGTTTTAAAACTGCAGAGCGGTTCAGGTGGTTCGCAGGCACGATGCGCGTTCTTTTTTACAAAGATGAACAGCAGTACGACTTTTCAAGCAATTTTCATGGTTTGCAAGTGGAATTTAATGCACATGCGTACGAATTACCCCAGCTGGGATCGTGCTTAGCTTTCACGTGCTTGAGTCCCGGCTGGCGTTAAGGCGCTTGGGTGCGGACATGATCACTGCGGTCGCCAACTCACTACAAGGGGTTGCGCGTCGAGGTGGAGCATACTCCATCACATCACAGCATTCCATAGCAAACTCAGTTTATAGCGTGCATTGACTGCCCAGCTGCCTTCCATTCATCGGCAGAGTTAGTGATATGAATGCGGAGCAAATCTTCCGCGTATGACAACCATAGGGTCGCATGATGGCAGGCTCCGAATGGTCAGTTACATCATGCTGCACTTGAAATCACCAGATGATTCATGTAGGCCGTCACCACAACTTAGTTTCTGGGGAAAAACAGCGGACACATTCCTGACAAGTGCTATATATAACTGACGTCCCGCGTTCACAGAACACAAGCTGGATAAATGCATGGCCATCCGATGGTCAGATTCGAATCCAGCCTCGTTCTCTCATCCGGTGATCTTCATGTGCCAGGCTTGCTGCCGCAACGAGCCCTGCGCCGCGATCGGAGGTCAGGGTCAACCAACCCAGCAGGACCGCAGCATTCAATGGCTGAAGAGCATGGATGGACTGGCCGGATCTCAGTGCTGGGAGTGCCTGTCTGACGGCGTGGCTGGATACCAGCCACAGACGTTACTGGGTACCACGTCCAATCTCACACGTGCATACTGTGCTAGAGCCTTTGTCATGGTCAATACCTCGAATACACAGAGACGGAGAGAGAGGGGGGAGTGAGGAGAGGAGGAGAGAGAGAGAGGGAGAGAGAGAGAGAGGAGGAGGAGGAGGA